CCATCTCAGCAAACCTTTCTCAATTTTTGTTTCCGTTTCCTTATCTCACTATTTTTTATCCTGTCACTCAGTTTAACTCCTATCATACTTCTTAACGCTCTCATCTCCACTGCATTTATTTTGCTTTCATGTTTCTTCAGCCAGACCCAACTTTCACTTCCGTACATGAGTGTCGGAACCAACACCCCCTCATGCACGGCCAAATGAGCCTTGTTAGAAACCTTCCGACTGCTCATAAGGAAGCGCAAAGCTCCATTCACCAAGTTTCCTGCATTCACTATTCTTTCGATATCACTCTCACACTTTCCATCTCTTTTAATAATATATAATGAAATGAGGTTAATAAATAAATAATGAAAGATATTTAAATTAATTAGCTAATGCCTTAATACTAATACAAACAATTTTAAGATGCCGTTAAGTCTCGTGATGTCCCTATTACAAGTCGAAATGAGAGTCACACCACGTAACTTAATGACCTATATAATTGAGTAGCGTTCTTGTATTGAGTATTCGGCCCTAAGAGAAGAAGAAGAAGAGAAATAACACTGATGTGTCTTACCTAGTTTAAAGAGCACCTCTCGCCCTCCCTAAATTGCATGCAATATCCCCGCCATCACTAGTCCCAACACCACTACAAGAAAGACACACCACCATCAACATGTTTTTCGTCGTCTCTAAACAATGCACCTTATGGAGATCTCCTGATCTAGTGGCGATTGTGATAATACATGCGATTGAAGAGGGCGGGAGGCTGTTCAAACTAGGTTTTTTTTATAGTATGGGGTGACAAATGAGCACACAGTCCACCTGATGCTAAGTGGTTGCTTTGGCCCATAGATATCTACATTTATCCTCGTTTGCGAATCAAAATGCAGATGCGTTACCACCCGTGAGAACTAAGATGGAATGCTTCGTTTCCAGTATAAAGGCTCTCCGGTTGTCTACACTCACCATACGAAACATAGCAGTGTTAAGCTGCTGTTTGACGCTGGTATTCTGTGAGTGTGTGGTCATTCTCCGGTCGGGCCGACATCAGTAAGACACATCAATTTTATTTTTACGCAGCTCTTAGGGCCGAATACTACATACTCATCCACAATACACATCATTTTTATTTTTATGTGGATCATAACTAACTAATTTTAATAAACATATTTTATGTAATAGATTTCCGCAAAGCAATTCCTAATTCTATTAATTGTGAATAATTAAATAAAAATTAAGCTACAAAATATATACAAGTCCCATCGCCGAGCGCTGGCCTCCTCTCATTTCCTCCTCCCTCTCTTCCCAACCCGTTCAGAGTTACGGAGTAATTTTTGGGTGCATCTTGGCGGACTTTACATGTCATTAAAATATTTTCATTTCTAAGACATGAATATTTTTCTAGAATCGCATGGAATAAAATATAATATAATAGAAAATATTTTTTTTTCAATATAGAGATTACAAGATTACATATTGAAAATCATTTAAACATTGCCATTGGTTCGCAAAAAACCTCTGTCCTGGGAAGAACCAGTAAGAAACCTAGAGGAACCTTTTTAAACCGTCATTTGTAATAAAATATTTTATACAATTAATTACGAAAACATTTAGAAACGACATTGATGTGTCACGATGTCTTCTTACACCACGAGTAAATCAGCACTTAAAATTGTATTTCATAATGTCATTGGCGCTGACGGTGATTGAACCCGAGTTAACACGAGTTACCACGGCTCATGAGTATATTATCAAAAGAAATTTTGTTACTGATGGTTTTACTTCCTACTGCGTAGTTTGTAGTGTGCACCTACACCACTTGCGCACATTTTCTTAATAATTATTGTTGATCCGTAGTCGCAATAAGACAGGATGTAATATTTTAAGTCTTTTTTGAATTGTTTGTAACGCGATTACAAGGCGCAAAATGTGTAATTTGTACAATTATTTTTTTATGCACAAAAATGTTAAAAATTGTCTCCCTAAAGTTATTATCGTGACGCGTTTGTCACAGATGAAATTCTGTACAAGATATGCCGTGAGCGTTCTAGCGATAAAGAATCGCACCCAAGTGTACCCAAATTGGTGGTTTAGATTCAAAAATTGTTAAGCTTTTCATAGTGAAGAAGCAGAGGTCGGTGTCTTATTAATGCTTTACTTATATTTTGTAGCAACTTTTTTTATTCTTTGGCAAAGGCGTCCGAAATTTAAAAAAAATTGATTGTTAGACAAAAGATTGATTTACTCGTCTACATCTTTCAGCTTTAGTAGAGCGCAAAATAAACACAACATAAAGATGATACTCATATTAAAATATACACGATTCGTCTACATATTATTTTCTTAAGCCGGGTTCACATTTGATTTTCTTGGCGTATCTTGCTCAGACATATCATATCGAGAACTTGCATCTTAAGTATAGAAGCACATTTTGACCACGTCGTAGCACTAGAAGTAAGGTGTCAAAACTTTTTAACCACACTTTACCATATCGTATCATGTTAGCTTAATGGCAAAATATTCTTATTTTTTTTTATTTAAAAAAGAAACGTTATTCTTATCAATATACCCTGTAAATTATACTCCGATTCTCGTATTTCTTACACTCCAAAATTTTAAGTACCGTGTAATAACGTGTAATATCCTCTTTAATTATCGCGGCGTATCAAGTATCGATTGGCATCGTCGTATCGTGATACAGTATGAAAATAAGTCCATACAACCGATTGTGATATATGTATCTGATACGATGTATACCGGATACGAGGTTTAGTGTAGAACGATACATATCTCATACGGCATCACAATGGTGTATCATATTATCTTACCACGTGATATAATTTAAGCCTCTGTAGCCGCAGTAATGGCAGGGCGCGGACCGCGAACTCGAAAGGTCGTGAGTTCGAATCCGCCATTCGACTACTGTCGTGAACCACTTCTAATACAAGCATTTTAAGCTTACCAGAAGTGATTAAAGGGAATATTAGTAATGTTTAATAATATTACTAGTATTTTTATTAAAAAAAAATCGCAAAAACTCGATCGGTCATGGTACATGTCGGTGTCGACAAAGACACGGTACGTCAAGATGATCAAATGTGGACTCGCCCTTAAATATTATTATTGGACGAATGTGAACAAACTACGAAAAATCAATGAATATGAACTAAATTATGAAGAAGTTAATTTTGAAAATGGCAAACGAGTTTAATGTCCTCTATACCGATTTTCGACCACGGCGGCCAGTCCCAACGGAGACTAGCCATCGGCGCAGGACAGGATTATAGTGCCCAAGTGTATGCGCAATCACAGGTGCACTCTCTATTCCCTCACTTTCATAGCCCGATGGGGCGGTAAACCGACACGACCGGAGAGAGATCAGGCGCAGGACCAACGGCTTTACGTGCTTTCCGAGGCACGGGGGTGAAACACCTCCAACTTCCTGACTCCGGGCAGCTACTGGGAATTTGTTGATGGAAAAACTCAATAATTGCCAAACGAGTTTAACAACCGTACCGTAACCGTAACCGTAACCAACCGTTGGTGACTTAAGGCGCAGGTTGAGCAAAATGTCGCGCTAATCGTTATTTGTGCGGTTTTTAGGAGCTATCCACTTTTTATTTAAAAGATATATCAACAAATAAAAAACACATTATATTTCTACATAATCTTGATTCCATAAGAGGTATATCTATTTTTTTAAAGGAATAAATATTAATATAATTTCCTTACAACGAAACCACATAAATGTGAAATAATTATTGATAACATGCATCTCCTCGAAAAGTAAGTATTATTTTATTTTGCGATATACACAAATGGATAGGCAATTTATTAATGAACATTTCTATTATAATTTTTTTTTCAAAAGACCAAAATTTGATTTTATTAAGAAATTATTTTAAAATCTGGGCGTATTCACTGCCCACGGGCTTGCTGGAGTCAGTGAGCGCTGAGCTCTTGAACGTGAAACCCGTGTCGTTAGTCAGAACGTCGGCCAGCGCACACGCTCACGTCATCTTATTAGTCGGTAATATTATTATTATTAGGTTATTTATAGGTAGTATTATTTGTTTGTTTTGAGTATAATTCTTCGTATTAGTTATACATATATTTGTTGTGTTTTTTACTGCGCGATGAAGATTTTTGCGTGTATTATCTTTGAAGTAAATGCAAATATAAAAATTAAGCACCATTAGCATGTAAGGCTTGGTTTGAATTGGGCGTTTAATTTGGTCTATGGTCGTCTAATAAGGCCCGGTCGAGTAAGTCGGCCTATAGGTGACTAATTCGGCCTGGTCATCTAAGTTGGCCTATCTGCGGCATTGCGGGTTATTACTCGACTCTCTAACTAAACTGAACATTTATTTTTTAACTCAAAACGGGACATGGGTTTATTTATAGTCTAAAAACTATAAATTTATACAATTAGTGTTCACTATAAAATTATATTCGGTATAGACGGTAATTATTAAATGCAACATATTTTATTAAATTATTAATTACATTTGTCAGTGGATTAAATTTGCTTTAATAAAGTTGGTGATGATTTTAAATAAGAAGAAAATTCTTGGCAAGTTTTTTTTTATTGTTACCTTTGTTAACAACATCGCCTTTAGAACTGGAACCGTAAGTGTTTTTTTCAGACGTCCACAATTTATTCAAAATAAAAAAAATACTCTTTCTACTGGAGCATTTGTACCAGGTAGATATAAAATATATTCGATTAAAAAATTATGTTGAAGATTGTTGGCTTTGAATACTTCCATCCAACGAGTTATGGGACAATTTTGTGTCCCGGTGCTTTATTTGGGGACAATGGGACAGGTGACCGATAAAAGAGACAGTCCCGTTCAAAACGGGACGTATGGTCACTTTACCTATAACCCGGCGACGGCTCCGTGGAGCAGTGACTTAGCAATCAGTTGTTGCGTTGTCTACCCACGATATATAAGACACTAACATCCATTTTGAGCGCGAGAATCACTCGTCACCTGAACTCAAATCAGGTGATGTCGCGCGCTCAAAATGGATGTCGGGGCGGTGGTCGTGGAACCAAGGAACCACTCTTCATTGACGCGGTCATTGGCAAAGTGGTTAAACGCAACCGTCGGAACCTATCCGCCGCCTGGATAGACTACAAAAAGGCATTCGACTCGGTGCCTCATACATGGCTGAAGAGGGTCCTCGAGCTGTACAAGGTTGACTGTACAGTTAGAGACTTCCTCGGGCAGTGTATGGGGCAGTGGAGTACGATCCTTTGTCATCTAGGCGAGCGGATGACGGCTGCGGAGAACCACATAAGGATAAGAAGGGGTATCTTCCAGGGCGATTGTCTGAGTCCAATCTGGTTCTGCCTCTCTCTGAACCCTCTCAGTACCTTACTGGAGGGCTCCGGGAGGGGATTTCAGCTTCGGAGGGGAGGTACAAAAGTGACCCACATTTTCTATATGGATGATCTCAAGTTATTCGCCGCCAGTCGCTCTCATCTTGTGGAATTGCTAAACATCACTTGTGATTTTAGCAATTCTATTGGAATGGGGCTGGGGACGGATAAGTGTGCGGTCCTCCATGTTGAAAGGGGAAGGGTTGCTAACTCTGAGGGCATAGATTTATCTATGCCCATCAACATAAGGACCCTTTCCGAGACTGAAACATACCGATACCTGGGTATGTCACAGAACATCGGTGTAGATGAGGCGGGTATGAAAAAGTCAGTTTGCGATGTGTTTTATGCACGTTTGACAAAAGTGCTTAACAGCCTTTTGTCCAGTATGAATAAGACGCACGCATATAACGGTTGGGTCATGCCTGTTCTCATGTATACCTTTGGCATACTTAGGTGGACTCAGACCGAACTAAATGCTCTGGACAGAAAAGTCCGCACTATAATGACGTCCCACAGGATGCATCATCCGAGATCGTCAGTAATGAGGCTGTACTTGCCGCGGAAGCATGGTGGGCGCGGCTTTCTTGTGATAAAGGACTGACCCCTCTATCCTTAGCCAACGAGCAATGGCAAGACCCAGCAGTACAGTGCATTTCCGACCGGGAGGCCGTATGGAAGGAGAAGGAGCTCCACGGGAGGTTCTACAAGGCTCTACATGAGCCTTTCGTAGACACAGCCGCCTCCCTTCACTGGCTACGTTTCGGTGACCTCTTTGGGGAACCGAGGGTTTTGTCTGTGCGATACAGGATCAGGTTATTAAGACCAACAATTATCGGAGATACATCCTAAAGGATGGCGCCGTCGACATCTGTCGAGCTTGTCGCCATCCCGGTGAGTCACTTAGGCATGTCATCTCCGGTTGTTCGGCGCTTTCTAACTCTGAGTATTTGCACAGACACAACCTAGTAGCCAGGATTCTACACCAGGAGCTCGCTCTGAAATACGGACTCGTGGATCGGAAACTGCCATATTATAATTACTTGCCGGAAGCCGTGCTCGAAAATGACCGCGCCAGGCTCTACTGGGACCGGGCCATCATCACGGACAGGACTATTCTTGCGAATAAGCCTGATATTGTGCTGATGGACCGGGCACAGTCAAGGATCTTTTTGGTCGACATTACCATTCCTTATGACGAGAACCTCGTGAAAGCCGAAACAGATAAGGTGGCAAAATATCTGGACCTGGCTCACGAGGTTACCGGCGTGTGGGGTGGTCTGCCGGCCGAAATTATTCCTGTGGTCGTTTCTGCGAACGGGTTAATCCCAGTCAGCCTCCCGGGTCATCTGAGGCGACTGGGACTCCGTGACGGACCGCTCCAGGCTCAAATGCAGAAGGCGGTGCTCCTCGATACCGCCCGCATCGTCCGCCGGTTTCTTTCCCTTTCCCCCTAAACCCTCGGCCGTCTGGTCTCCCCTGCCGAGGGCTTCCATCTGGTTGGGTTTTTATATATTTATGTATTTTTTATGTATTTATTTTATTTTATTCATATTTATGTATGTTTACCATTTTCATTTACAATTATATATTTATACTGCCCAACCAGATGAGAAAATTTTATAGATACCCCAAAAAAATAATAATAATTTATTTAGTTCTAAACAAAAACACAAATTAACATAACAAAATAAATTAATGGAATGGAACTAAAATGGCGTCTACTCAGCACAAATATTATAGAAACCACATAGTGATAACTATAACGCTGATTTTCAGTAAACGCCAGAGACATAGGTGCAATAAAATAAACTTAGCCAATCACAGGCTCCAACATAAAAATAAAAAATACACTCTTATAAAATTTATAACTAATAATTAAAAAAAAACTGTTAAGATTTAGGAAAGAAAGGCACAATAATAAGCCAACGCAAAAAAAAAAAACCGTAACAAAACAAAAAACAAAACATATGCAAGGCACAAGGCACACAATTAAATTATTTAATAAGAAATAAAATAAATGGAGAAATAAGCAAGTATTTTTATAATATACAAACATTCAATGAACCTTCATAAGAAAGGTGTGATACATCGACACAGAACTAATTTTGCAAATTTAAAAGATATTCTTTTAGTTTTACTTTAAAAGTGCGAACTGTTTTACTGCCTTTAATACTATATATTATAATAATTAATTTCGAAAACAAATAATAATACGCGCTGAAAAAGATTGGTGATAGAGCAGGGAGATTGTTATTAAATATCAGTTTGTACTCGTATGCAATTAAATGATAATTGTGCGGGTATACAAGATGTCTGAAAAATAGTAGTATTTACAAGAGAAGTGTAAGATAATGTTTATTTTTTATAGGATCGGGTGACAAACGAGCAGTCCACCTGATGGTAAGTGGTTACTGTGACCCATATACATCTACATCTATCCCCAATAAAGACTCAAGATGCAGATGCGTTGTGTCACCCGTGAGGACTAAGATGGAATGCCTCTTTGCCAGTAAAAGGGTCTCCGGTTCTCTACACTCACCATACGAAACACAGCAGCGTTAAGCTGCTATTTTACGATGGTTTTCTGTGAGACCGTGGTCCTTCCCCGGTCGAGCCGACCCATTCGTGCTACAACCATAATATAGCTGCAGCATGGCTCTACCACGTAAGAAAATGTTCTGTATTTATTGCGAAAACTGGCAAACTACATTGAAGAATCAATACGAATTATTTAGTACCAATTGACTGTCTCGTTGTTCAGTGGACGTGAACGCGATTTCCGATCAATATTAATCCCAGGGTTCGAATCCCTGGGTAGGGACAAAATCGGATTTCTGTCACGGAATTCCCAGAAGCAGCCCGGTGTCAGAAATATGGAGGTGTTTCAGCGGTCCAACGCCTGATCCCTCTCCGGTCGTGTAGGTAATCCGTCACATCGGATTATGAGAGTGACGGATTAGAGGGTGCACCTGTATTTGTGCACACACTTAGGCACTATAATTGGTCGTGCGAAAAACGCCCAAGGGCAGTCAGTCGTCTTTAATCGGTGCTGACGTGAGCACGCGGTCCATTCTGTTAGGGAACTCGGAATAATTCGGCGCGGCCAGTAAATATACGGTCTATCATTGTGACGCGCATTCCTACTGGAGAGCTTCCCGGGACTTATTGTGTCTGACTCAAAACCTGCATAAGTGCATTCGGCAATATTAGATAGTGTGGCCTCTGATTCTAGAATTAACTATTGCTACGCGAAACGGTAGTGACCTATGACCCTTTAAACTCCGTGTGCGTTTGTGCGGTAACCATTATACCAGCGATAGTTAGTGGCTTCTGTAAGTTAGTAAATCGTACGATAGAGTTAAGTGACTGTTATCGTGACGAAAGAAGAAAGTGACTGTGGACAACCTCGAAAGGCGCCCTCAAGTTGGAGCGGTGTCGACGCTCGGGCTGCTGCCGACGGCCAAGGTCTAGGTTCAATAACCATCAGTCACACCCAGATACACACCACATCACCATTCTTTCTTTGCACTACACAACCACATGTGACCTGACCGACTCCGGAGGGACCAGTCGCCTTGGATAGGTAAGTAAGCTTCATCCAAACTCCTTCCGGTCGACTGGCCGTAGTATAACGCTCCCCCATATATTTTAGTGTAATTGGAGAGATTCCACGTGGCCACATTAAGGCCCGACCTACGTCTGTTCGGGAAATCTTCAGCTCATAGGCCCCTGAAGATTGGATCCTTTAAGGGAGCAGCCGTAGGCCGTAGCCTGTCCAGTGCAGATGGCTAGTCTCCATTGAGATGAGTCGCCGTAACCGACATTCGGTCTAAAGGACATTACTATTATTATTACTTACTACCAAAACCCAGTATTGTCACGTACTGGTGATTCTTTCACGGCAGAGTAAATTCGGGAGGAGTTTGTCTTTTCTCCATTCTTCTACGAGATTTATGAGACTAAAGACGCAAATGAAGGAATGCGAAATAATTTGCCTAATGCTTTAAAAATATCTGGATTATTGTCTGGTTTTCATAGCAAATATCCGTATAAGGACCACACTGCAGCTATATTGTGATTGCAACATGAATATATTCCACACATTAGAACCAAACGGTTAGCTTCGTCTTTTGTAATGCGTACAGCAAAGGAGTGGAATAATTTGCCGGCGTCTATCTTTCCATCCGAATACAATCTGGACGTCTTCAATGCAAGAGTGAATAGGCTTTTCTTACGATAAGACAATGCGATTTACCATCTAAGGCTGCATCACCACTTACCACCAGGTGGGATTGGCTCGACCGGGGAAGGACCACGCTCTCCGAAAATGTCAGCGTCAAATAGCAGCTTAATGCTGCTCCAACTTAATGCTTTGTTTTGTGAGTGTTGAGAACTGGAGACCACTTTTATTGAAAACGAGGCATTCTATCGTTGTCCTCAGAAGTGACAACACATCTACATTTCGATTCTTAATCAGGGATAGATGTATGCACATGTATATTGACAACAGCATCCACTTACCTTCAGATGGACTGTGTGCTCGTTTGTTTAGGCAATGGTATACAAGTGAAATCTCAATTTCCATAACTGAACATATTCACAATTTTGTCGTGACACCCAAACTGAGCTGCGTTCGCATGACGTATAGTGATTTGTGGTAGTCTTTGGATTAGGCCTATGTTCAGCAGTGAACTTGTGAAGGGCTGCAATGATGATGGTAACACAAATAATTGTTCCGGGTCTGGATGTTTGTCCTTGTGAAATTTATATATGTAAATCAAATGTTATGTACGGCTGGAATTTTAACCCAGAACTCATTCTTCTCTAGTACATACTTATTTAAAGTCTATCTGTAGTTAATTATATTATATTCATGAGGTTTTAATTAGCGTGATTCATTACGAAATCAGTTAACTTATTCCGTCTGAATGTGTAATTTTAAACAACAAAATCTCAAGCTCCCTTAATGAACACATTAATTACTCAGCTGACTCGTGATATTATTAATATTTTATTAAATTTTATTCTTAGTTTGTAGAGAGACTGTTAATTAAGTCCCAAACCTTGATCATACATATATATATATATATATATATATATATATATTAACATACAAGATATTTAATTTGAATGTTATATTAATCCAACAAGAAATTATGCACAGAAAACCTTACAGATATTTTAGGAAAAAATTAAAAGAATGTCTATTAATGACTCAATTGACAGTCCCATGTCTGCATAGAAAGGTGCACCTTAGCTAAGAATAAAAAAAGGTAGAGTTATTTCCGAGGTGGGGTTGCCAAAGCAAGGAGGCACTGGTGGGGCGGAAGTGTGCAAAAGCGTTCCCTTAGCCTGCCAATTTGTGACGAAGGTGAAACCATCCATCCATCCATTACAGCCTATAAAATTCTGCTGGACATACCTCTCTCATAGATTGCCTCATAGGGGGGATATTGTCACAGTTGCCACGCTTGGCAGGCGGGTTGGCAACTGCAGTTTTTTATAATTTTGTGTTGTTATCAAGAAAATGCTACCGGTCTCCTGTTTCAGTTTCCCTCTGCCACCTTGTAGAACTCTAAAACTAAAACTTATGTTTCACCT